TTGTAATAAGTAAGGTATTTTCATAAATCAGTCATCAATAAATTTTAATTACTTATGTGGTTCTCTATAATTGATATTTATTCTCAATATGATTCTTTGTAAATAATGTTACTCAAATCATGATTTATTGGGAGATATTTTAGTATTTTGATCATCAAAATTTAAAGTATATTCTTGAAATAATCATTTATGAATTAATTTATGAAATTAATTGACTAAATGTAAAATTTAAAAAAAACATTAACTATAAATAATTTATGAATTATTTAATACTTAAAAAAATCTTTTAAATTTCAAATCAAATACACATCTTTAATTAGAAAAACCATTTTGGGATAGCACTTCATTATAAATGATTATTTTAAGAATTAATTCTAAATTTAATGGATAAAAAATACCCTTAATTAATCCTCATTTGAGTAACATTATTTACGAAGGACTACCTTGGGAATAAATCTTAATTATAGAGGACCATGTAGGTAATTAAAACTTATTGAGGACTGATTTGGGAAAAAACCTTATTACAAAAGACTATTTTAGGAATAAATCTCAATTATAGAGGACCACGTAGGTAATTAAAACTTATTGAGGACTAATTTGGAAAAATCCCTTATTACAAAGGACTATTTTGGGAATTTACTCTAATATTGATTGCTAAGTTATGTACACGCGCTATAGCACGAGTATTGTCATTGTTAATTTAATATTGATTACTTATTTATACACTCCTTTCATTCAAAAGTATTTCTGCTTCTAGGAAGTTTGAAGTTTCACACAAATTAAGAGATGAACTTGAAATATTTGTCTACCCTTATTTGTGATGTCTTTTATTCTCTTTAATGCTCTCTTTTATGCTTCTAAACAAATAATACTCCTAAAAAACTGTCAATTTTGTCTCTCAAAGTTTGTGGCTTCATATCAAAGATATGGGATATTGAAACTTTTTGCATTATCAAGGAGTAGTGTCATAATGCTTTTGATTCCAATACCCATCTTGTAATGACTAAACACTTAACACTAAACAGGGGCAATGGCTGAAGAAAGGTACAAATTTTATCTTGATTCCCTAAAACCCCAAGTATTTTAACATGTAAATTGACCCCTTTTGTAGAAACTCACCATGCACTAGAAAGTACACGCAATTTCCTTTTCTTCCCTCAATAAGTTAGTAAAGAAGATGAAGCCAGAGTATTTGGTCATATCGTCCAGATTAGATGAAACTTTCTCCGGTCACATAACCATGTCCTTAATCTGCTCTTCCCCTGGAGCCCTAAAGGTATTTAATTAATGAAATCCATTTATTCACAAAACTACAACCCTTGTATTCTGCTGCAATAATATGCCCGTGTTTGTTGGAGTTCGCCTTTAATTTTCACTACCTGGTTTGCAGGTGGTGCACAAGAAACTGTTGAACGACTCAAAGCTAAAGAAAAGGTATTTGAATTTTGATTTTCGAGCCGATTCGATTGATCATGAGATAGAACATGAAAATGGCTCTGCTTGGGAATCCTTCATGAACACCCATTTAATTGCTCACTACACTGCAACAATAGTAGTCACTGAAAAACCTTTTGAGGAGTGGGTTAAACCTTAGGTTCGGATTCAGCAATGGCAGGTGTGGGATGTATGTATGTGTATCTATGCTCATGGTTAGTGTGGTAGGGTGTTGTGCATTAATTAAATTTGTAGGAAATAAGAATGTATAGATTTTGGCTGATAAACCTAGGTATTTTATTAGTTTATTGTGAACATAATTACAATTGTTTTCGATAATGTAAATGAAAAACTGTTGTACTGAAGTAAGTACTCAAAATTTACTTGTGGTATTTTCTTGTAATTTTCCAACTTAACTGTTAAAACATTTAAGATTGGCAAACTCGTGTGGATGGGCGCAATATTTACCGTACAATCGGTTGTGCAATGTTCACCGTACACCCGCGGTGAGTACTCATTTACAAGCAACATAATACTCATTTGGGAGCAAATGAATACTCATTCTTCGAAAATCTAGTTATATTGGAAAACGAGTATTCTGTTACACGAAAATGAGTATCCAGTCACTCGAAAATGAGTATTTAAGTAATGTACGGGAAACATTGTACATCCGGGTGTATGGTATAAGTACTCATGGATGGGAGGTAGTAGTATATCTAGTGGTCCCCCCCCCCACACTTTCTCCTCTCTTTTATTTTTGATGTCACATTGTTTTTCTTTTTAATTTTCCTCAACACCACTTCAACACTATGAACTTCAAATGTGGCATTCATCATATGAAGGACTTCCTTTGGGTTCATTGGATTCCCACAAGGTATCTGAAAACCAATGACTCGCAAATTTGGTCCGTTAGTCTTTTTATTTCTTTTGTCTAAAAAATAAAATGATGGAGATAAGATTTGAATGCTAAACCTCATCACACAACTTTCTAATAAGACTATAACCACCTAAGCTATTCAAAACTTGTTACCAAAGTCATGCATAATATTACATACAATTTTTTTTATTGATTGGTGTTGAGTGAATTAAAAACATATAACTATCTGAAAGAAAGAGCATGTTTGTGTAGTGTTATTACTTCGTATTTTACAAGCTTTTAAAATACTTCAAGGTAAAAAATAAATACTCTATTATTTTTTGTATCAAAATAATAATGAATAATTTATATCTAAACAAATATTATCATCTATAAAATGAAGAAATATATACAAATTATAATAAAATATAGAAACTGTGAAAAAGTATATGAATAATGACATTGAAAATAACATGGAAAAGAAATAGAACACAATTTTAAATATTTTATTTAACATTGAAAATGATATTTATATCTATCTTTATTTGATATACGTGTTCGGTTCAAATAGAAAGATAAAAGTTAGACAGAGGGAGTATGTGTTTCGTATTATTTACAAATAATAAGCATATTTAAGTTAGTGAAATTTGCACTAAATAGACCTAAAATATAAGACATTTCCCAATGTAGGGCTTAAAACTTTTTTATTATCTAAATAGGACTTAATAATGTCTAGTGAAAAGGAATAATGTCCAATAATGATAGACATTTAATTAAATAATTATTAATTGATAATGACCAAAGTTTTTATATTAGGAAATAAAAACATATGATATTATATTAAGAAAGTTATATAGTGAGTATTGACTCGAGTCAACTTGGTTCGACTGATGATCAGATGATCTTTGATCCAATGGCTAATCCAATTAATGTCTAGTCCCATTTTCAAAACATTACTTTCTCGCAATATGTTCTCTTATCTTAAGCCTAAATGCATTTGTATTAAATTCGGGTATGGACTATGGATTGTGTGGAGTAGATTATATGTCAAATTTTAGGAGGTGTATTCAATCGAAACTTTGTAAGATTTTTTTGGATTTTAAAAATTTGTAGGTATTTGATTGAGATTTTAAAAAATCATTTAAAATTTGTAGGTATTCAACAAAGATTTTAAATAATTTTTCCAAATCTAATGTTATTGAAAAAATTATAAATTTCGAAAAATTGTTATAAAACATAGATTGTGAAGGATTTTAGACTTGAGGTATAAATAAAAATTTTGTTTTCAGATCCAACCAATAGCCTACGGATATTGTGTGACTCCAAATCTGCCAATCTTTCTCTTCTTCCCGCACACTTCTTCATCTTGGCCGGTCATCTCCTCCCTCGACCTCCCCTACAAACCCTAAGTCCCAAAATCAAAACAAGCAATCTCAGAGATTGAGGATGACGGTGGCGCTGGCCTAGGATCGGGAATTAAGGACGACGGCGGCACTGTCTGGGGGGGATTTTCCTCCCTCTTCAACAGCTCTGGATGGAAATTAAGGATGACGGTGGCGCCGGCCTAAGGTTTTGACCGCTTGGACGGTGGCGACGTCTCCGAACCGGGGGACAGAAAATTCCTAAATCTTTGTTTCCACATTACAGTTCAATGAGTTAATCTCCAGGCTCATCTTTGAAACCAGGCGGCTTCCTTCCATCCATTTATATGGATCAAGGTATTTTCTTATTATCCATCCAAGCTTCCTTCTTCGCGATCCGATAATCTTCTCTTCCTGCGATTTACACTTCGAACTCCGTAGCTGATCCATCAACCGATTGCTTAACAGGCGAAACCATGAGTGAAGTCCCAAGATCTGAAAATGGACCGCTTGATTATATCTCCGCGTTGCCTGAACCCGTTGTTCACCATATATTTTCGTTCCTTCTCTTCAAGGACATCCTCCGTTGTTCTCTGCTGTCTAAGACGTGGAAGCGCATTTGGCTGAACTACCCTAACATCGATTTGATTCTCCAAGAAGAGGAGGAGGATATGTGCCGTTCTTCACTGTGCCCAATCGTGTACTTCGGTGAAATGGAAAGAGCCTTGGATCATTGCCTGCTTCCAAAAGCATGCGTTCAGAAATTCCGGTTATTCATCTCGGCCCGCAATGCGGATGCCAGTGTCTTGAAGAAGTTCCCTCCCCTTATGGATACTTACCTGGGCGCTGCAGTTGATAGGAGTGTTTCTGAGATAGTGCTTGATATTTATTTAGGCCCAATTGCTCTGTATTCCTTCTCCGAGAAAGCAGTTGTTTCTGATTCTCTGAAGGTTTTAGAGCTTATGGGATGTGTGCTTGAGGATAGCCGGGTTGCTTGCATCTATCTCCCGCGGCTGCAGAGGTTTAAAACTTCTGAGTGCACATTTTCCGGTGAGAATGTTTTGTCTAAGATTCTATGTGGTTGCTCTAATGTGGAGTTTGTCCAAGTTTCATATTGTGATGGTGTGGGAAGTTTTCTCTCAGTTTCATCTAAACCGAGATTGAAATGTTTTAGGATTCGTGGTTGCGTTGAGCTTGAGAGGATAGAAATAAATGTGCCAAGTCTTGAAACATTAGAGTGTTCATTAAAGTATCCTTGTCAAAGGGGGGCCTTTGAGCTGGCTAGTTGTACCACTCTGAAACATTTACAGATTAAGGGAGCTACCCTTTCTGGTGATAATACTATTCAGAGTCTTTTGTCTAAACTTCCCGGTATCGAAGATTTGGAATTGCATAATTGCAGAGGGGAAGACAGGATACAAATCTCAAGTGTATACCTCAAGAAACTAGTCTTAAGTAACATTGATTACTTTCCTGGAGCTGAAATTGACACTCCAAATCTAGTTCGTCTAGACTTCCGCTCTGTGGATGCTTTTGATCCGAGTAACCGGTTTAGTTCTTGGAATGTTCCCAAGGTAGGAGACATTCACATGGTATTTAATGCCAAAACCTTTCAGTCTGCTTGCAGGAGTGGACTGAAGGGGTTTCTCATGCAATTAACAAATTATGGAAATTTGAAATTGGTTGTAAAAAGTGGCCGGGTAAGTCGTGATTTTTTTATTCTTTTTAGTTTCAAACTCCAATGCATGTCATATTATTATTATTGTTGTTGTTGTTGTTGTTGTTTTTGGTGTTGCTATTTATATAAATAGATTATGTCTTTTAAGGAAGAATCATGCGAATTAAGGGATCTCATAGAACACTTATATATCCTTATTTTTAGTCTAACCATTCTCTATTTTATTAGTTAATAATAATAATGATGATAATGACAATGATGATGATGATAATGATAATGATTGATGATGATGATGCCTATAACCACCAATTTTTTTCTCAAAGTTTGTGTCTTTCTATCTCAGGATATGTGGCATTTTTCTCAAAGAATTATAATGATCAAACATTAAAGAAGATTAAATAGGGCTAGTAGAGGGAGAAAAGTTTTAAAATTATTTCTTGAATTTTTAAAGCCCCAATTACTATGATTTTTAAGATGCAATTTAAGGTTAAGAGAAATTTTTTTGTATCTAGATCCCTTGGGGAGTTCTGTACTAATATCTCTTACCAATGCATCTTTTTTTTACTTATACAAGAAGAACAACCGGCATAATCCCAGCACTGTTGGGGGTATTGGGGTCAAAATATATGCAGATTTACCCCTCTAAAAACACAGAGATACTGTTTCCGTTAGACCCTAGATGCATTGTTGCACTTACTACCCATGCTTTCATATAAACTGAGAAGCAAGGGAATTTCAATTTGAATTTTTGGTTTAGTCCATTGCGTGAATCTTTAACTTGTATTTGCAGAAATGTATTTTGCATGAGAAACTGTATGCAGTTTCTTTTTCCTCCCTCAATAAGTTAGCAAAAAAGGCAAAGCCAGGTTATGTGGCCATATCATCCAGAACATATGCATCTTTCACCAGTGGCATGGTTGGTTATGAAAGTGGCGATGATAGTCTATTCTTGATATCTTCTTCTAGTGGAACCATAGAGGTATTCTTTTACTGCACTCCATTTATCTTGAAACCCATTTAGGGGCATATGGAATGCAAAAGACTATGCTTTATTTGGCTTGTTGCAAGATGATTGTGTTAGTCAGTGTTTCAATTTTCATCCCATTTGCAGTTGTTTCACCAGAAAATGAGAAAGGATTCAAATCTAAAGCGTTTTTATAGTGATTTTCGGCGGGCTTCTATTGAGGAGAGGGAACATGAAGCTGACTCTCCATGGGCATCCTTCGCGAACACCCATTCAAACGGTTACCACACTGCAACAATAATCCTCGTAAAGAAGACTTCAGAGGAAATGGCTCCAAGTCCTTAGGTTTTTATTCTGCAGCGCAGACAGAGGATGGCTAGTGTGGGATGTTGTTGAGTTATACTCATCTCACATCGTCCGTGTACACCGATATTATGGCTTGGCTTGACTTCCTCAACCCCTTGAGTAATTTCTAGGGGTTGAATTGGGTCCAAATATATTTATTCGTTCACATGGTATCAGAGCTAAAGTCATTGATGATGGGACCGCCTGCTGTAATCTGTGCCTCGTGCAAGGGTGGTGTGTTGAGTTATACTCATTCCACATCGACATTGTACATCAAATGGCTTGGGTGCCTCAACCCTTTGAGTTAACTTTTGGGGTTCAATAAGGCCCAAGTCTATTACTCTGTATTTCACATTATCTTTGGTTTGAAAGATATGTTTTAGAAGTCCATTTTATGAAAATGTAACCTAGTTCTTGAATCTTGTAACTATTTAAATCCCAAGGTTATGACCACGATGGCTAGATCATGATAACTGTTAAACGCAGTGAATCGTCCTAAATGAGTGAGTTCACACTTTGTTTTAATCAATGAGGTAACTTGTTTTACAATAGGATGACTCAATGACTACAACTTTTTATACTCCGTAGTACTTTTTTGAACCAAACTTGTTATGTGTGATGAAAGTTTACACAATCAGTTAGCTTTTAGTAGAGGTGCACACTTTCCTACTCTGTTTGAGTGTCCCATAATGTCCAGTTTCACAATTTGAGCATCACAATCGATCCACGGTCACGATTTGTAGCCAAAGGTTGTCGATGTGTACCTAATAACTCAAAATCAAACCTAAAATGACTTGAAAAAATGAGTGTTTGTTCTATAATTAAAATTTGAGATTATCTGAACTAAACCTGAAAGAAATTTTGTCAACCTTAATTAAACCTGAAATTGATTAATTTGATATAATCATCTTATCTTTTGTCAACCATCATTCCCATCATTATTACTCTGTAATCAATGTATATACAACAATAAAAAATAATGTAATGTCATAATTCATCCTTCTAAGCCCGGGTCATAAAATAATCTTGAAATCTAAGGTCAAAAAACCATTTTGTATAAAACAATGTTTTTATTTTGAGTCCGTGTACACCACCCTTGTCACAGACACATACAGACATCAACTGTCTGTGTGAAACACAAAGACAATTGGTGTACAATGCCGGAAGTACGCTGTTTCTTTTTATTTAAAATATCTAATTGTATAAAGTACTCCGTATTACTCCCTCCGTCCCAAATTATATTGCCTGTTCACTATTCACATGGTCAAACTTTATTCACTTTCTTTCTCTATTTTCCTTAGCAATTTGATAAAATAAAATATTATTGTCACTACTAGTTTTGTAGATTTTTTGATGTAGTATTTTGATATGTAATTTTTATTTTTTAACTTTATACCATTTGTCATATAAAATGATTTGAAAATAACTTAAATCAAACATCGTAAACCGAAACAGACGTTATAAAATGGGACGGAAGAAGTACAAAAATAGGAGTATGAAAATTTGAAGAAAAAAAAATCATTAATACAAATGGAGTCCTTGATCCTACAGAATTTCTGTTCCTATTGTACAGCACAACACAAGTTTGAAAGGGCGCCGAGGACTCTACCGCTTGGATCAAAAGCCGACCTACTTCCCATTTATTCCTCTAATATTCTCTCCCCATCTCTTCCAAAACGCCGATCGCCTCCCAGGTATCTTCATTCATTTCTGATTCACGATTCATTTCATACTTCGCATTCTCCAGCAGCTATCGAACAGCTTTCTGCTGTGTTTCAAATGATTGGACTTCCATCAATGAGCTTTTGATCTGTTATTTGCTTGATTCGTTCGCATTCATTTCGATTGTTCTAATTAATTGTTATAGTATAATTAAGTGGAGACCGGAGATCGATCCGTAATTTTTCCGGTCATATTGTTGTAATCTGTTGACGATGTGAAGTTATTGATCTGTGAGAGTTTCGGAATTCCAGTGTGAGTTCGCTTGGTAGCGATGGTATTCTTCAGAAGCGTTTCTCTTTTATCAAAGTTGCGCCACCGAGCTGTAAGTTGTAGAGCATTCAACTGGTTTGTTTGTGATTTCATTTGTTTTGTTCGAGAATTGAGTGTGTATTAATGATTTCCGTAGTCTGAGTTGAATTTGTTTTCGAATCTTAGGTTCAGCAGCCCAGTATTTGTAGTTCGGTACGCTGGCTCCAAGTTCAGACCTCTTCTGATCTGGTAAGTGTTTGTGATATGTTGATCAGGTTTCATACTGTCCTTTTAATGCTCCCCTTTTGGATTGAGGTTGACCTACGTCATACTTTAAAAAATAGCCTATGTTAGGAGAAAAATAGATTCTATGGGCAAATATCTTAAAGGTGTTGGGATAGTATTAGCTCTACGTCGGTGTGGTCGACTGCCACGTGATTTTTGCTTTAGCCTTGTTTGGGTTCATGTAAATTAAAATAAAAACACAACTTAAGAATTCAGCCTGGTTACTTACATTCAGGGTATCTCTTATACTCACTTAGATTCAACCCAATAACAAAAAAGCTTAGTGGCTGTTTGGTTTGATTTTTAGAAATGTGTTCTAAAAAATTGTTTCAAAGTGAACTCAGAACCATAGGTGCATTTTCTATCTCGTAAATACTTTTGTACTACTTTAAAAGTGTTTATTTTTGCATGGATGTGAAACTGGTGATATGTGATTCTTTGAAGCACTGCTAAACACAATATTTCCTTCATTTAAATAGGACCTACATTCTCAGCTGCAGGAATTGATTCCAGAACAACAGGTACACAATGACCTTACCCTAGCAGTTTCATATATGTCATTCAAATTATGTGTCTGTATCTCTTCGTCATAAGTTCAACTGATTTGTATTTCTTCATTTCCAACTGCGGCGTCGTTGTTTCATCTCTGAAAAGCTAGATGCTTTATGATTGGGCTCTAAGTCATGTTTTTTACTTCACTTATACCTAGTAATAATTCATGTTTCCTGATGTTATTTTCAGGAGCGTCTCAAGAAAATCAAGTCAGAGCATGGGAAAGTTCAACTTGGAAATATTACAGTAGATATGGTAGAGATTTCTTAGTTATCATGTTGATGTGAGAGATGCATAAAATAATAATAATAATAATAATAATAATAATAATAATAATAATAGTAATAGTAATAATAATACTAATGGTATTGAGATCTCGAAGGATTGTTTATAGAAAATATTGATTGTGTCTCATAATCTTCTTTGAAGGTAATCGGTGGTATGAGAGGAATGACTGGTTTATTATGGGAGACATCATTGCTCGATCCAGATGAGGTATGTGGCTATGTGCTATGATCTCCAGTGAAGATCTATGATGTGATATTTGTGATACTGTGATGATGTAATCTATGGTTGTGCAACCCATTTTGCTAATCCATTGTTTCATTTCTACTAGGGAATCCGCTTCAGGGGATTGTCTATACCTGAGTGCCAGAAATTACTACCTGCTGCAAAGCCTGGTGGAGAGCCATTGCCTGAGGGTCTCCTCTGGCTTCTCCTAACAGGGAAGGTTAGTCATCTTGTCAAATTTGAAAGGATGAAAGAATAACTCTGTATTTTCTCATTTTCATGAATGTATTTGTTTTTATTGGTCTGAAGAAAACTTCTCTCAATCTATGCTACTGGCTTTACAGGTTCCAACAAAGTCACAAGTGGATTCATTATCTCAAGACTTGAGAGCCCGTGCTATTGTTCCAGGTATCGTGTCTTTCAATGACTCAACTTCTTCACTCTTGATGATTGTATTGAGTTGGCGTTGTGTGCATCAGTTCAGAGATTTGTAAGTTTTAAAGCATCCCTAATTTTGCTATTCTTCTGTCTTGGTTGCAGATCACGTATATAAAACCATTGATGCCTTACCCGTTACTGCTCACCCAATGACTCAGTTTGCAACTGGTGTCATGGCACTACAGGTGAACTCTGAACTATTCTGTACTATATTATCTGTTCAGTTTCCTATAAATTTATTTTGGATGAATTGTAATGTTGAATGTGAGTGCTTGGCATGACTTCCATCCCTAATCAAACAGATTCCAATAGTGTTTTTTCTTTTTCATTCTAAAATTACCGTATTGAAGTTTTTTAAATATCTTTTAGGTTGGCAGTGAATTTCAGAAGGCATATGAAAAGGGAATTCACAAATCGAAGTGAGTTTTGAAAGTATTTGTATTAGAGTATATTGTATGACTTTTGAAAGCACTTAACATGTATTTTGCTTCTAGGTTTTGGGAACCAACTTACGAGGACTCCCTCAATTTGATCGCTCAAGTACCACTTGTAGCATCATACATTTATCGCAGGTCAGATGGCTGTAAATCATTCATGATTCATAATTTATGTCTATTTAAAATCCCTCTTCATTTGAAGGATGATTAATTTATGAATTCTTTCTATTTCTTATTTCATAAATATCATAATGTTTTAACTTGAACATTGTCAACTCTTGTGAAGGATGTATAAGAATGGTCAAATTATATCAAAAGATGACAGCTTGGATTATGGTGCGAATTTTGCACAAATGTTGGGTTATGATAGTCCCGAGGTGCATGAACTCATGAGGCTCTATGTTACCATCCATAGGTGGGCAGTGCTCGCATGTATATTATGCTAATTAGTTTGATACTCCTATTTCATATGTTTGGTTAAGCTGACTTTTAAATTTTCATCATCTCACTCTCCACTTTCTTGCAGTGATCATGAAGGCGGAAATGTTAGTGCTCACACCGGTCACCTGGTAAGGTTAACTCTTTTTTTTGGGGTGGGGGTGGGGTGGGGTGTTATGAAAGTAACGCAAAGGTTGGACTACTTTATCAATTTTTGTTTGCATTTTCAACCATGTAATTTGCCTATTACTCTCCCCCTCCTTAAAAAACTCATGTTTTAAATGCTACTATGTATAATTGTCCAAAAATGTCAGTTTAATTCCAACCAAAATAATTGTTCATTCACTTTGCCAAAAGGTTGCTAAAAAGGGTCACTGTTAAATTGATAAATACACCATAAAATATGTTTAGGAAATATGTTTATGATTCAGTATTAATGACAATTGTGTGGCTGTGCCTGAACGAAGTTTAAAGAGTTATACATTCATCAAACATGACTCTTTTTGTGGGATGGGTGTGAACATGCGGTATGTGTTCGGTAGTGCGGACTCCGGATGCATGTCTTAGTTAATTTTTTCTGTTTAAATCACCTCCCTTCTACCATTTGTTTGATCAGGTTGCCAGTGCTCTTTCAGATCCTTACCTCTCATTTGCAGCTGCGTTGAATGGACTAGCTGGTCCCCTCCATGGTTTGGCTAATCAGGTGATTTCTCAGTTCCCCTTTCAGTGTATTTCCTATTAATTTGCATCAATGGTGTCATATTCTACCATACCTGGAGGATTTCTTTTGTGCTCACTTCATGCAATTGATGACAGGAAGTGTTGTTATGGATCAAATCCGTTGTAAAGGAGTGTGGAGAGAACATATCCAAAGAGCAGCTAAAGGATTATGTCTATAAAACCTTAAACAGTGGCAAGGTAGTTTGCATTTGAATTAAGGGTAGCTTTGCTTTACAAAATCCAGACCAACTAAAATATTTTTTTCTGATTCGCTTCGAATACAGGTTGTACCTGGATTTGGGCATGGAGTGCTTCGCAAGACCGACCCTAGATATACATGCCAAAGAGAATTTGCATTGAAGCACTTGCCTGAAGATCCACTGTTTCAGCTGGTTATAACTTAAGCCATGATAATACAATGTCCTCTGTTTTGTTTTGTTGCTCATCTCACATGTGTAATCATCCAACTAACGTCTGATTTGGCTCTACTTCTCTGCAGGTTTCAAAACTTTATGAAGTTGTTCCCCCTATCCTTACAGAGCTTGGCAAGGTATGCCGTTCTCTGTATGAGGAGGTTGTTGTTGGTCTGTTTGTATGTGTGTTTTTGTACTTCAGCCTACAAATATAAGTTGATAAAAAATTTGTTGACTTCTTTGGTAGTGCTAAACAAATTTAGGTTAAACTTCTCGCCAGACTACTTTTTCAATGAGTGTTGCACATCAGCTTTGCACAATAAATGAGAAATCTATTGTTTATCAAAACTTATCTTTTATCAAATGAGATTTAAAATCAATTATTGAAATTCCTAAAATGACTATTTTTTTTATCAATATGGCACTTGTCGTTGAGATTTGATGATAGTTATTGAAATCTAAGAAGCATGTATCGCCGCACCTTTGCTCTGTGCTGATATTATTTGTCATTCATCAAAATGAATACTGGTTTGTAGTCGTATGCATGCAAAAATATGAACAATAAGTTGTTTCTTGTTTTTCTTTTCAGGTGAAAAATCCTTGGCCCAATGTTGATGCACACAGTGGGGTGTTATTGAGTTATTACGGTTTAACTGAAGCCAGGTATGGAATGATTCTATTCTTATTTAGAAAGTGGTTTCAAGCCTGTGAAAGATGAACCCCATTTGATAAATTTCTTTTGCACTTAATTTTCCATACAGATACTACACAGTCCTCTTTGGTGTATCTAGAGCTATCGGCATTGGCTCACAGGTACTTCACCATACTAAATACCCCTTGTCGCTTCTTCTCCATTACTATCTTCATCAACACTAAAAATATTATTTTCGTTTGGAAACACAACACGTGGAAAAATCAATTTTTACATGAAAGAGTTGCAAGAACGTTGTGCCTAGAGTTCCTTAGGGGGCTATGTAACATTTTCTGTGCTCCAAAAGAACACCAGAGGTTTGACAAACATTTCTGAAAGGTAACAAAGCTAACATGTAAGTCTTCGTTGATAAACTCAATGGTTTTCCCTTTTTTTTTCTTTCACTCAGCTGATATGGGACCGAGCTCTCGGGTTGCCATTGGAGAGACCAAAGAGTGTTACCATGGAGTGGCTCGAAAATCACTGCAAGAAAGCAGCCAGCTCTTGATTTCTTTTACCCAATATAGGATGATGGCTCTAAAGTTTTCCTTTAATAAGTGATGAACTCGCAAAACCATGGGGTTAAGATCTCAATAGTAAGCATATTGCCAATACCCCCAAATTTTCTACAAAAGTTAATTGCAGCCTTTTTTGCTGTCTTTTTTTTTGTGATTCATTGGTTAGTAGTAGCATACTGGGTTGGGGAATAAGCACTGTGTACCATCATATCATATGTTGCAATTCCAATTTACACAAAGGTTGGATTTTTGTTCTTTAAAGAAAATGGTTCTCTTTTTCATCTCTCTGGTTGAAGTTTGTTTGGTGCATCAAGTTAGTCACATCAAGTTTGACACCTTTGTGTTTAGCATATATACCCGGATAATCATTGTCTTGTACTAAAAAGTTAGAGGAACCCCAACTTTGACGCTATAGTGTTTCATGGACACATTGTCTGTGCGGGAACTATCTGTGTGTGCTTGTGAGACACCATGGTCTCAATTGAATTTTCCTAATATAATTTAAAAAAAGGGTCATACTAGAATAACACTAACTTTTTTACATTAGCAATGACAACTGTTTGTTAATTTGTACTCGGTACATACGTATGATGTATTTGTGAAAGTTCAAAAATAATTGTACGGGAGTATTCTGTATGCATATAAATAAATCTACATACGGTTTTCATTTCCACTACTGTTTAAAATTGGTGCTTTTCTTTTACTTTTAATGTTTTCTTTTCATTTGATTAAGAATTGTTTAGAAATTACTTCGTGTATGAAAATGGGAGTCCTAAAGGACATCCCAAAAGTGGTAACCAAATCACCATAAACATAAGGATTAAATTTGTTTTTGGTTTCTGTAAAATAGGTAACTTTTGTTTTTGGTCCATGTAGAATATTTTTTTGTAAAGGTATCCTTCCAAATTTTTTATTTTTTAAATTATCCTTAAACACAATTTGCACTTCTAATTTGTTGAAATAGCACATTTATTTTGTATTAAACATTCTAATCTTGCATTTCTAATAATTGCACTACTATTTTCATGCCTTAAATTTTATCCTTATTAGTATTAAATCTCCATTCTTAATTTTTTTAGGAATATAGTATAAGAAAATCTGGAAATTCGAGATGTAATTAATGAAGAAGACGATCTATGACATGAGAATCGTGTCTGAGGTAATTAGAATACAAGATCAAGATGTTGAGTACGAAATAAATGTGTTATTTTAATAAATTAGAAGTGTAAATTATGCTTAAAGACCATTTTCAAAATAATTTTTTTTGTAAGAATGACTTTATAAATTTCTTTTACAAGAACCAAAAACAAAATTTGCATATCTTACACAGACTAAAAACATATTCAGCCCTTATCATAATAAAGGATAAGCTATATTATCTTAGGAGTATTTTTGTCACAAGTTTTTTTGAAATGGACCAAACATGTGAGAGTATTCATGTGCACCTTTCCAAATCAAAATGTATGTATGGCTCCATTGTGGAGCTTGTATAGTAGCTTCAATTGTTTCATGCAGAAACGCTGGAGCTCCAAAATGTAAATTAAGACCATTTATTAAGAAAAGAAAAACAAGGTTCAAAGCCAACGGATATAAAAGAGTCATTATTGACAATTTTTTAAACTTCGTGTAAAGTATGGACTAAATAAACTAACAAAACAATAACATTCTAACAACCTACTTGGATTCTTTCCCATTAACGTTATGATTCTCATCACGAATAGTCTCCGTGAAGCTCATACCCTCATCGGCACCGGCAGTCATAACAGGCATCCATAGATCAGAAGTTGTGCTTAAGAGAGACATGACCTGAGGGCCCGCTGAGGAAACCATCTCTTCTACATCATCCAGCTTTGATGATAGCTTATCCAACTCCTTGGCAATCTCCATCTGATTGACATATAACGTTCGACGATGAATGTGCAAATCAAGCTATAGATGCTTGTTTGGTTCGCATAAGTTCACATTAAGGAATTAGAGGGGGGAGGATGGAATTCATATTCCATGGGAAAAGAATGAGTGGTTCAAATCCCAATGTTTTGTAGGCAATAAACAATTTTTTGCTCTTGTTTGGTTTCCCTTGTAACATTCTTTATCTAACAATTTGTCGAATTCCTAGCAAGGGGGTGTGAAAATGATTTCATTTTGGGCAAACAAAGGTGTAGAGAGTTAAAGGTTCACCTCATCAAGATGAGGTGCTGATTTTGAAGGAACTTTTGTGACTTCCTGCCCTAGGGCATGTATCTTGGCGCGTAACTCCACCTCCTCTTGATTAGAGAGTGACTCAACCTGCATATGTTTGTTATAGTATCACTTAGCTAGCTGACACGGAAATGATACTTCCCTTGAAACAGTAAAGCAAATACTAAACAGAACCAACATCATAAATCAGAAATGAAGTTAGAAAACATACTCTGAGCAAAGCTAAGACCAAACCTAGGTAAACTCTAGTGTTCGGTCTTCGCCCCATCTCATCAAGTCTCGTATATTCAGCTATCGCTATTCGCTAACGACAGCCGCCACAACCTTGGGCTATTTAGCTATCACTCTTATAAACCTCCGTAAGGATAACCTTATAAAAGTACGGAATGACAACATGAAGTGTGTCGTTTGTTATTCCATTCTATCTTTCCTAAGCCCATGCTTTTACCAAAGAAAAAGAAAAGACCAAGGAAAAATAAAGCGTGCATTTATCAAAGTGGCTTATTTTGCAGTTTATCAGCAATATAAACAAAGTAATTTAAGTAGCTTTTAACTTGTTGGTTGGTTCAATTGGACTTCTCAAAGAGCAATTCCTCTACTTTAAAAATAGTAGATTCAGCCATATCAGCCAAATGACCATTACAGACAGGCTTTTATTTTCTTCTGTGTGGTTTCACCGTTGGAAATGCAAAGATATAGAAAATATGATTGGCGCTGTCAGAATTTACATACATTAAGATTTCTTACTCTATATACGAACGACAAAAAATTAAAATGAATGTCAACAAAAAGACTTGAATTTTAACTGCTGATTTATTTCCCCTAATATGTTCCTTTCTTCTTTTCTTTTTTCTTCCCTGGCATTTTCCAAGGTCTAAACGACTTGCATTTCCAATGTTCCTCAAGAATATCTAGGTCTTGCTAAGGAAGTGTTGGACAATGGAACCACAACATCTAGTTATATTGTTGCCATTTCCGAGTTAATGAGCACTGTAGGGAAGAATCCCACAGCAAAGTATCAAAAATTTTAACCAAACCAAACAAGACCAGCAGGATATACCCCTCAATACTAGGGTGTGAGGGTACACACAGACCTTAACTCTACTCCAAAAAGTATTCCAAATGTTTTTACTGCAAAAGCTTTGCCATCCAAACCTATACTCTCTAGCAATGCCAGTCAAAGGCACAAATTCTAACCTTAACCATTCGAATAACCACTAACAGAAGAGTGGAATTAATACTCCCTGTGTTATCGTCTAACTGTCCGAGCCGGTTGACTTTTTTGATACTCATGAATGAACAAGGACATGATCACACTGATCCGTTTGATGCTATTCAAATAGGGCAATAAGATTTGGAACAAGAGATCAAATGGTGGCATGAATCCATCAAAGCTTGATCGAAGAGCATAATTGTCAACTTTAATGTTTTATCACATTTAATTCAATTGCAAAATACACCAAACGAACTGAGCTCGAAAAATTGAATATGAGGTAAAAATTAAAGAGATAGATAGCTAGAGAGAGAGATGTCCATGATTAATTTCATGATCTGTCAGGATCTCTTAAGGCTTTAACGGCCAGCGATGATAATGAATTGAGAAGGAATCGCGTAAATGTTAAGCAGGATATATATGCTTGCGGGTGACTGATATACCTGCTGGAGAAGATTTGTTAACAGGCCGAAGAGTTGAGCATTTGCCGCCGGGGGCGATGGCGGAAGTTTTCCTTCTCCGGTCATTGTGGATCCCGTTTCCAGCTGCAAAGACGAACGTGGCCTTCTTTTTGTTAGTGGACGTGGCCTTAGTATTATTTAAAAAATGGCCAAATAGCTCGAGTGTACATGTGGTCTGGAAAATTAGCATCAATATTCCTTCTGTTTTCAAAATTTATTTATAAAGTCCTTATGATTTTAAAACGTTAAACCCACACCTCTGATCTTTTTCCGGCCATTTTTTGGTGAAGAGGGAGCATTGGAGCATATTTTTTAAACCATAGGTGACATTTGTGCTCATTTCTTATTTTCGTTTATTATTTATGTTTTTCCTTTTTAAAAATATTTTCTATCTCTTTTTCCTTTTCCTATATTTTTTAAAATATATTTTCAATTTTTTATAATATCTTAAAAATTCTAAAATTTTTTGTGTTTGAGATAAAAATACAACAACAACAACAACCCAGTTGAATCCCACTACAGTAGGGTATGGGAAGGGTGTGTGTACGCAGACTTTGCCCCTACGGCCCTAATCGGAAGTAGGGAGGCTGTTTTCAAGAGACCCCCGACTCAACCTGCACAAAAATATGGAAAGGAACACAGCATAACGTGTTTGAGATAAAAATAAAAATAAAAAAAATAAACATACATTAAATCTATCTCAAATTAAACATTTTCACCTTTTGTTACTTAGAATAATTTTTGGAATGGTCAAAAAACGCTGAATAAAAAAAATAAAAATATGAAAAAACGAAATGAAAAAATTAAAATACACAAAAAAAGTCTTATACAAAAACAATTTGGACATGCCTAAAAAAGTCCTTAGAATTGAGATGTCTAAAAAGGATATTCATTTTTATTTTTGTATTATTTTGTTTCTTATTTTATTCCTCATTTTTTTGAAGTTATCAAAAAAAATTGAAGATAAAAGGTTTAAAATCCCATGTGGGATACATGGGTTTTACTCTTACCAAATGTTCGACTTTGTTAATTAATTTCTCATTTAACTGAGCACCATTTTTGGAGCACAATATATCAAAACAATCGTCTCACTTGGGGGACTAATTGTCCATATTTATTTTGGAGAAATAATTTTGTGGACCCTATCAAATTTATGTCCGAAGTTATCCTGTTATAAGCAAAATATTTGAACACAACGTATTGCAGGGTAGTTTTTTAAAAGGGATTTAAAAAATTTTTTGAGCTTTAATTAGTAAATGAGTTTAATTTTATTCATAAAAAAAATAAATAAATGAAAGGCATTAAAGTCTTGATCTATAATTTGGAGTTCCTAATTTGGGAAGCTAATGTTCGGGGTCCTATTTTTATATCATTACCAAGATAATAGAGTACTATTCTTTTTAAAGGAATAATACTTTTTTTTAGTAACTCACGTGCTCATCAACATATATATGTTCAAACTACTCTAAACCTCTTAAACACATGAGCGAGGCTCGAATAATGAATGTGCACCTTCGAGTCGAGACCCGTGATTGCAAATCCATATTTTAAAAACAAAAGTGCGTGCATTGAACAAGTAATAAAAACAGGCAAAACAAGTTTATAAAACTTGACCATGTAAATAAAATAATAGACGTACGATATAAATTGAGAAACAGAATAAATTGAAGAGAAAAAGAACCGTTTGAAATATAACGTACTGTGTTGGACTAAATTTGACCAATTCCATTGGAAGAACGAAATCAGACGAATCAATCTTTTCCACATTATGCATAGGCGCAAATCTCTATTTTTCCAAAGAGACAAAATTACTATTTCAAATGGTAATAAATTGAAAATGGCGCCGGTTATAACCAAACATGTGACCCTATATTCTCGCCACTTCATTCAATCCCTGCACCGTTATTATTCACATCTTTTTTTTTAAACATTTTATTATTCATATTTAAATATCTTACATCCCATGAAAAATTTCCACATCTGCTATTCACGTGCTCAAATTTTATCATATTTATTTGCATATTTTCGCTATTCATCTGATTAAAAACATAGATGTCACATTTTATTTTTGGGATTTTTAATATATAAATTTTATTTTTAAAATTTTATACAGTACTAATTACAGATTAAATTGAATTGAAAATAACTCAATTCAAACACCATAACGGAAGTATACATAATTAAAATTTTCAAACCCACTTTCAGCTTGAAAAGTGTTTTTATTATTATCATTTGTTTGAGGTGGGGGATTAAAAGTTAAAACCTCTTGGAGTTCCATAACTACTCTTCAACAAAAACCTCCCCATTCCAAGAATCTGCACCACTATTAAAATCCCCATAACTTCTCTGCTTTAAAAATTCTGAACTCCCCAGAAATTAAGGCTCCGTTTGGGAACAACATACGTGATAAGCACCACAGTTTCGCATATATTTTTCCCGGTGTAGACGAGTGTTTAAAACGCTAAAACTCAAAGTTACCGTTGGCTAGCATATTTTTTTAAAAAACGCTAAAGTGAAACTGCAATGTTATTCCCAAACGGAGCATAAGAAAGAGCTCTTTATTTTAGTTAATTAATGCAGCCATTTCACCCTGCATTATTTTTATTCCTTTTTTTTTCTATTTGGTCGAGAACTTAAAACTCCTAAATAAATGAAACAGAAATAGAAATTGAAACCTCAAAAAGATCATGCATTTAGATGCTATATATGAATGAATAACTACTGCAGTTACACTGTCTACTGCTATCTATACAAAGCAATACCTGCAGGTTCAATTCTTCCCCTTCTTAGCATGCTCCTCTTCCAATAAACCAAACCCAGAAAAGAAGAAATCTCTGAGGTCTCTTGAAAACAGTCTCTCTATTTTCAAGTAGGGGTAAGGTTTGGGCGCACGCACCCTCCCCCGGACCCTACTTTCGTGGGATTTTACTGGGTTTGTGGTTGTCGTGATTTTTTTGGAGGGAATAAATGAGTTTTCGGGACGGGCGGTTGTGGAGTGTGATGATGGTCGCGGCGTTCTTTGCGGGCTTGGGAGAGGTGGGGAGTTCAAGGAATGGGGGGGAGGAGTTGTTGAGGATCACTTGGAACGACTTGAGAGTGAGTGACGGCGCGTTGAAAAAGGAGCTGGAAAATTTGGGAGGGGAAAATTGGAGGAGGATGAGGAGGAATGGGAGCAGATTGATTGTCGTTGATCAGAAAGGGAAGGGGGATGTTCGGACGGTCCAAGCCGCGGTTGATATGGTGCCTCAACACAACTCCAAGAGAGTTAAGATTTACATTGTTCCTGGGATTTACAGGTAAAATGTATGCATATAGTCATCTTGGTTTAGTCCATTACTCTTTCCGTCTTATATCTTTCTTCTCATTTTCACTTGTCATGTTTTCTGACGTAGGATGAAAAATGTTCGACTTTCCCTTTTTGCCCTTGGCGGTGCAAAAGTAAGGCTAAAGTGGTCTTGTAGTTGCGAAAAAGACAAATAGTCTTTCCATTTAAAGAAAAACGAAATTAAAGATATAGAACAAAGAGAGTATTATTTACCAGTAGAAGAAGAGGCTAAAACACAAACATTGTCAATGCAGAGAAAAGGTGCAAGTACCTGCATCAAAGCCGTACATCTCGATGATCGGAGACAAAGAGGATCCATCGAGAACGGTGATATCGTGGCACGACAAGGCCTCGGACAGAGTGGGGAATGGGGGCTTTTTGGGGACATCAAGGACAGCCACCCTCCAGGTGTACGCCGATTACTTCTGCGCGAGCGGAATCACTGTTGAGAACACGGTGGTGGCGACCCCGGGGGGCGAAGGAATGCAGGCTGTCGCCGCGAACATCAACGGCGACAGGGCTGTGTTCTACAAGTGCAGCTTCTTGGGGTCGCAGGACACCCTTCTGGATGACGCCGGGAATCATTACTTTTACCGGTGTTACATTCAAGGGATGGTCGATTTCATCTGTGGAAACGCCAGGTCCCTCTATCAGGTGATCATTTCTTGAATTGTATCTAATCTAATCCAATATATATAAGAATTAAGAAATCACACAAAATAGGAGCAAAAAACATAGCCCTTGTCCCCAGAATAGGGATGACATGTTTATATAGCCAAAATAGGACTATTGCAATTTGACAATGCGGCACCGTATATTGGCATCTTACAATGTTTTTTTGACATTATACATTGGCATTATTGGCACTTTAGTTATTGGCACTTTAGGTTCTATTCTGGGTATAAAAACATGAAGGTCTTGTTTTGGTTCTTTTCCTATGTTTCACTCAAGTTTTTGTCTTTCTCTCCCGATATATCCACAGAGAGGCAGAGCAACATTGAGAAAGTTTGAACATTCTATTAATAAAACTAAAGAAAGTTTTGAGTATAAGACTGGTAAGTGGAGTATAGAGGAACTGACCCAGTGAGGATTTTTGCAGGAGTGTGTTATTAATTCATTGGGGTCAGGAGCAATTGCAGCACAGCACAGAAACTCACCTGGTGAAAACACAGGCTACTCATTTGTTAAGTGCAGGATTTCGGGCAACGGGAAGACCCTTCTGGGGAGAGCCTGGGGAGAGTTCTCGACAGTGGTTTACGCCAACTGTGATATTGAAGACGTCATACTGCCTTGGGGATGGAGCGACTGGAGCGTTCCATCGCGACAAACGTACTCCCTCTATTCACCTTTAGTTGAAACGAATATAGACATGACGTGTGTCTACATTCGTTCAATTCCCACGTTTTCATGGGTTTAAAAAATAAAGTAATAATTCATCGGTGATCGGTTCGTTTACATTTTCAGGAATTCTATGTTTGGAGAATACGGGAATAGGGGTCCGGGAGCAAGAAGAGATAGGAGGGTACCATGGTCAAAGAGCTTGAGCAATGAAGAAGCCATGCAATTCATGGATACCACCTTCATACAGGGACAACAATGGCTCAAACTATAGTTGATACTGCAAATCACTTGTGTATATAAATATATTGGCCCACATAAATTTAATTCCACACAATTTTATTCAAACCTTAGTTAGACTACTGAAATTCCCAGACCAACTTACAGCAAATAAATCACTTTTGGAGTTAGGAAAACAAATTCCGAGCAATGTTAACACCAAACCTTGGTACTCCCTCTGTCCCATAAGAACATTTCACGTTTCTTTTTCGTTTGTCCCAAAACTAGATTCAGCTTCCTTTTAAGGAAATTTTCGTGGCTCATATAATTTTACTATCCTATGCAAACACACAATTTCACCTTTCGTGACAACTCTGTGGGTTCCATTGTGGAACCTTTTTATGGGGACAGGGGGAGTAAAATCCAGTGTTCATTCACCTGGTTAACCAAAAACCAAACAAAAGTGTCATTATTGACAAAATCAAATGACACACTGAACTTTATATGTGTCTTAATTTGAGTGAAGTTCTGGGTCTAAGAGCTTGTTTTTTTCAACTTATTTTTATTACATATTTGTTATTCTTATTAGAATCAATTCAATTCAGATGAGCAACAACTTTAATTATAACTATTTTCATAGAAAGGAACAAACAAAGCAATAATTGTCTAACATGTCAAAGTTAAGAAACAAACTAGGCAATAGTTTCAATTAAGGGTCCATTTGGTACACACTATTGACGAAATTGGAATTGAATTCAAATTTTGAATTTTAAAGAATTGATTTGGATAGATTAGAATTCTCTAATTCTAGTTCATTTTTGGCACTACCACTTCCAAATCCACATATTTTGTGCTACCAAACAGTAGAATTAGAATTGTAGTCCTCAATTTCAATTCCATAGTTTGAATTCCGCATACCAAACTAAGCCTAAGTATTGGCATCCATTAAAGACTAGCATTAGCAAATTTCAGAACCCAGCGCAACGATTATATCAGCAAAAGTTGGAGATGATAACTATACAAGCACATAAGAATTCAGCAAAATCTGTGCATCTGTGTGACCAGCTGGAGAAGAAATCTTAGATTACTCGTTAGAAGAGCATTTACCAACAAAAGAAATACTAGCAGATGTGTGGAGTTGAGCGTCAGCTGTACTCGGCTGTGACGACGGCGGCCGGCGGCCTCCCGGCTGTGACGACGGCGGACGGCGGCCGCCTAACTTTTCCTTTTCCACCATGCTGCTAGGTGTTTGTACAATTGTTTTTGCCCCAGAGATTTAGGGGTGTTTGTTTTTTGGTGTGAAGATCTTCTAACCACTTATGTCTGCGCCGTGCAGACGCGGGCAGACATTAGGGACGCGCAGACTGTTTGTTTTTTAGAAGACAAATCACTTAAAAACGTCTTCCAAACATCTTCCTCAAGCAGACGTAAACCTTAGCTTCTCGCGTCTTCTCATCCTTCCGATCTCTCCCTTCTCGATCTAAACCTATCCGACTTCTCATCCGCCCCGATCTCAAAACCTACCCCTGCCGACTTCTCTCTCCCTCCGCCGGCGACTTCTCTCTCCCTCCGTCGTCCGCCGTCCGTCTTCCTCCTCCTCATACCTCCAGCGACGCCTCCTCCTCTCAAAGAAGTAAGTTTTTTTCTCTTCTTTTGGTTTTTTTAATCTGTGAATTTGGGGTTTTGGAATTAAAAAATGAAAGCAAGCTTCCGTTCTTGAGATTGTGTACAATCGGCACTGTTCACAGTGAAATTCCAGCTCCAGTTTCTGCCTTCCTTTTCCTCTGGTTTCTGTCTGCGAATTGGGTGATTCCCATCTGTTTTTTCAGCTATTTTGGGTGATTCCCATGTGTTGTTGAGCTGTGTTGGGTGATTCCCAAGTTTGTTGAGTTGGTTTCCTGTTTTTTCTGGTGGTGTTTGGCTTTGTGTTTGCTGTTTTTCCCCTGGTCTGTTTCTTGTTGCTGCTGTGTTGGTACCACTGCTG